CCCGTAGACGTGGGTGATGCTGTGGGGGCTCCTGGGGGTGCAGTGGGTCCCCAGGCTGGGGCTGGCCTTGCAGAGGCTTTATCCATTCTGAGTGTTGGGAGCAGCTTTAACCCTTTGCCTCTTCCTCACCCTGCTCCTGGGATGCCCATGGGGGCTGTAGGGAAGGGGTTGCTTTATTTTTTGAGCACTGCTGGGTGCTGCCATATGGCAGAGACTGTCATGGCCCTGCATGGCACGTGGGAAATGTCACGGTGGATCTAGGAATGTCCCTTTGCAGTGGGAATGTGGGTCATGGTGTGCAGGCCAGTGGGAGACGTGCATGGGCATCTCGGTGCTGAGCCTGTGGTCCCGGGGGTCCCAAAGGCTGCTCTGGCCCCTTGGCTTGGGCTGTGCCATCCTGGTGTAGGAACTGTGGGTGGTGGGGAAGTGGGGTTCCTGGGCTCTGGGGTGCAGCAAGCACCTGTCCCAAAAGTACTGTCCTGTTGTGTGAGCTTCTGGGGTTTCCTGGGCTGGTGGCTCTGGCACCCACTGCCCCCCAGCCTGGTGCCCTCCTGGGACAATTCCTGTGTCCCCAGGGAGGGGGGCTGGGCACTGGCAGGAGTGGGATTAACTTTCCACAAAAACAGGATACAGCAAGTGAACTGTGTGGGGCTGGTCCCTCTTCCCGGAAGGAGGAGCTGGGGCTGGGAATGTGCCAGTGGCTGGATCTGCCAGCCCAGGGGCTCACTGCTTTGGGACTGCCTGGATTTTTGGCATGGGGAGAACCATCTGTGGCCCAGGTTCATTAGCCTACCTCTGGTGTGCAGACAGTGGGTGCAAATTGCAGGCTCCTGGGTGCACAGTGACACCTTGGGGACACTGTCTAGGTCCCCCCAGCCCTGGGGACCTCAGTTAATCAGGAGGCAGGACCTGGCTGCAGGGAAGTGGTTCTGCAGAGCTGCCTGACTCCGGCAGCAGGTAACGGGCCTGGGTAGAAATAGCGGGGCAGGCAGGGAATTAAAGAGCTCTGCTAATTAATCCTGAGTGGCCGCAGGTCCCCACGGAGCTGTGGCTGTGCCGGCGCCAGTCGGTGTATGACCTGTGCATGGTTAATGCTGTGGGGTGGTGGCACCCCCTTTCCCCACCCAGTTGGGCCTGGATCCATTCCCAGGAGCTGGCTGGGCATGGGATGGTGCCAGGTTTGAGGGAGGGGGCTGCACCAGACCCCCACCCTCTCCCACAGCCGCCCATCCCATGCTTCCCTGGCCCCATTGTAATGGGAGACATCCCAGTGCCATCTCTCCATGGCTGCCTCCAGTTCCCTGCCTTCTCCTGGGGTCCCTGGTGACCCCTTTCCATGGGGAGATTAAAGGCTGGAGCGAAGGAAATCAGCACATCTCACCCAGCTCCCCGGAGCTGCGATTTATCCTCCTCCCGGCACGTTAACATCATTAATATTTGAAGTTCTGCTGGCATGGGTTGTGGTGAACTCCTCGGCAGCGTGGGAGCTGCTCCCGGGGTCATGGGGCTGGGATAACCTGGGTGAGATGTTCAGCGTGGGCCAGATCCTGCCCCGTGCCCCAGCTCCTCGCAGGGACGCTGGGTGTGGGAAGGCAGGTTTTGCCGTGGGGTTGCTCTCCCCACTGCCACTCTCCTCACGCTCCAAACTGGTTTTTCTCCCCACGCCAGCACTTTCCCTGCTGTCAGCCCGGGGAACCGGTTTCCTCCTCTGGAGCACCCACACATGGCCGAGCTGGCACGCCCCGGTGCAGCCAGCCCTGCTGAGGCTGCTCCCAAACTGGCTGCTCCATGCCTGGCTTCTTTTTCCCTCCTTTTTCATCCTGGAGCTGGTTGAAACTAGTGTGCACTGACCAGCCCAGGGCTTTCCTGGTGGTACTTTGAGCTGGGATGGAGGGGGAGCTGCTGGCCAGAAGGTCCCGTGGGTGCTGGGTTGGCCCTGGGGGACAGTGGGGTGCTCTGCCTTTGCAGGCTGCTGCTGCCAGCTCTTCCCAGTGCCACAGGGGACTCCTGAGCCACTGCCACTGGGATGGCTGCTGAGTCCTGGCTTCTGCCTGAGAGGGATGTCCCCGTTCATGGTATGCGTGGGTCACGTTGTCACTCTGGGCACTGGTGGTCCCTGCAGCACGTGTGTGCCCAGCGATGCCCCTGGGTGTCCCCACGGCGCCCACACCCCTGCCCTCCCTGCAGCTCTCAGGTGATGCCAGCGAGGCTCCGTCACACCCGGTCCCCTCTGTGCCACCAGCACCCACGGGGTGACCGTGGCTTGGAGGGGGGGCTCCTGCTGGGCCTGCTTCACCCCAAAGGCTGCGGGGGTCGGTGCCAGGGGTGCTGGTGGCCTTTCTGAGGGGGCTGCCTGGCTCCCACCGCAGCCGCAGTGGCCGCGCGGCCCC